ATGGATGAATCTGGAGGGCATTATGCTGAGTGAAATAAGTCAATCACCGAAGGACAAATATTCTATGAGATCACTACTGTAAAAACTCATGAAAAGGTTTACACACACAAAGAAACAATCTTTAATGGTTACGAGGGAGGGGAGGGTTGGAGGTGGAAAAACATTAAATAGACAATGGATAAGTGGTAACTTTGGTGAAGGGTAAGACAGTACACAATACTGGGGAAGCCAGCACAACTTGCTCAGGGTAAGGTCATGGAAGCTCCATGAACAAATCCAAACTCCCTTAGCGACTGAGTTGCTGCGCTGAGGGCTGTGGGGACCATGGTCTCTGGGAACATCTAGCTCAATTGGCATAACATAGTTTATAAAGAAAATGTTCTACATTCTACTTTGGTGAGTAGCATCTGGGGTCTTAAAAGCCTGTGAGCGGCCATCTAAGATACTCCACTGGTCTCACCCCTTCAGAAGCAAGGAAAAATGAAGAAAACTAAAGACACAAGGGAAAGATTAGTCCAAAGGACTAATGGACCACAACTGCTATGGCCTCCACCAGACTGAGTCCAGTACAATTAGATGGTGCCCAGCTACCACCACTGACTGCTCTGACAGGGATCACAATAGAGGGTCCCGGACAGAGCTGGAGAAAAATGTAGAACAAAATTCTAACTCAAAAAAGAAGACCAGACTTAGTGGCCTGATAGAGACTGGAGAAACCCCGAGAGTATGGCCCCTGGACACACTTTTAGCCCAGTAATGAAGTCACTCCAGAGGTTCACCTTTTAGCCAAAGATTAGACAGACCCAAAGGACAAAACAAGACTAAAGGGGCACACCAGCCCAGGGGCAAGGACTAGAAGGCAGGAGGGGACAGGAAGGCTGGTAATAGGGAACCCAAGGTCAAGAAGGGAGAGTACTGGCGTGTCATGGGGTTGTTAACCAAGGCCATAAAACAATATATGTACTGTTTAATGCGAAGCTAGTTTGTTCTGTAAACCTTCATCTAAAGTTCAATAAAAAAAAAGTAAAAAAATTCAAAAAAATTCTAACTCACAAAAAAAGACCAGACTTACTGGTCTGACAGACACTGGAGAAACCTCGAGATTATGGCCCCAGACACCCTTTCAACTCAGTACTGAAGTCACTCCTGAATTTCACCCTTCAGCCAAAGACTGGACAGGCCCATAAAACAATATGAGGCTAAAAGGGCACATCAGCCCAGGGGCAAGGACGAGACGGGAGGAGGGGACAGGAGAGCTGGTAATGGGGAATCCAAGGTCGAGAGGGGGAGAGTGTTGACAGGTTGTGGGGTTGGCCACCAATGTCACAAAACAATATGTGTATTAATTAATGAGAAACTAATTTGCTCTGTAAACCTTCATCTAAAGCAAATGAAAAAAATAAACAAAAATGTGTCATACGTACACACAAATTTAGGGTGGTAGGAAATGACAGAAGTTTGGGAGCCACTTACAGAAGTCACAGGACACATTTTCCTATCTCATTTTTCTATCAGGTAGACAGCCATCTCACACAAGTTGCGGGCCCCTTCTGTCCTTGAGGGTTTCTGTGCCAAGGACAGGGTGGTCTGCCTCTCCACATCTCGGAAAAGCACTGCGGCCAGGAAAAGGGAGTTGGAATCAACCACCCAGAAAAGGTGGGGGTTGGCCAGCATGGACCACCAGCTGGGCCCAAATAATTTTGGGCTAAATTCAAAACCACACTCCCAACCCACACAGGGCCCAACGTCAAACATGGCCTAGGTTGGTGGTGCTCAAAGACACTCCACTCTGAGTTTTTGGGCTCTCTGTGGAATGCATGGCATATGGTTGCTTTCTCTTAAAAAACTAATGGACTCAGGGGATGTGTGCTAACCAGACACTACCCCTTACCAGACTTGCTGGCAAATGGAACTTGAGGGAGGGGTTTAGGGTGGGAGGGGGGAGGGAAGAGTTTAACAAGCTGTGTCCACCAGGCAGATATGTTTTGTTAGGCCTGCCCAGGGTTTGTATGCTCACTTAATTCAAACTTTTTGAGATCATTGTAAATTCACAAGAAGTTGTCAGAAATTATACAGAGAGATCCCTGTACCCTTTATCCAGCTTCCTCCAATGGTAACATCTTGCAAAACTATATGCAATAGCAAACCAGGATACTGACATTGATACAGTCAAGATACATAGCATTTTCATCCTCACAAGGATCCCTCACGTTGCCCTTTCATAGCGGAACCCTTTCTCTCCACCCCACCTCTTCCTCACCCCTGGCAACCACTAATCTGTTCTCCATTTCTATAATTTTTCCATTTCAATAATATTATATAAATGGAATCACACAATATGTAACATTTTGGGATTGGCTCTTTCTTTTCACTCAGCAGAATTCCAAGTTGTTGCTTTTATCAGTAGTTCATTCCTTTTTATTGCTGAGTAGTATCTCATGGTAGGGATGTACTACAGTTTGCTTAACCATTCACCTGTTGAGGGACATTCGGGTTCTTTCTGGTTTTTGGTTATTACAAACAAAGCTGCTATAAACATTCATGTACAGGTTTTTGTGTGAACAGAAGTTTTCTTTCTTCTGGGTTATATGTCCAAGAGTGTGTATGCTTGTTTTTAATGAACTAGTTACAATCATTTACAATCTGGATGTTTCACCTAAAAATCCATGTTACTGATTTCCCCTCAACAAACAGAAGATCTGGAAAAATGGGGCCACAGTGACTCGTAACTGTAATGGGCTGGAGGCATCCAGTCCCTGAATGCCCTGCCTGGTCCCTTTTACTTGTGTGTCTCTGGCCTGGTCCAGGTACACTCCCAGTTTGCCTGGTATACGCAGAACACTTCAGTCTGGTTCGCAGGCAGACACTGCTCTGCGGTTAATCCACCACCAGCACCACTAGCTGCTGTGGCGTCGATTCTGACTCCTGGTAACCCCACGAGTATCAGAGGAGAACTGTGCGCCGCAGAGTTTTCAATGGCTGATTTTTCAGAAGTAGATCCCCACGCCTTTCTTCAGAGGCGCCTCTGGGTATACTGGAACAACCAACCTTTCGGTTAGCAGCAGAGGACGTTAACTGTTTACATCACCCAGGGCTCCCTCTGTGATTAATAGGCTCTGAGAATTGGAACGTGATGAATCATATCTTGATTTTTAAAGTATATGTATATTTGCTTGTATCAGCATACAACTTCTCTGAAAGTTTACTTAAGCGGAAAACACTGGTTGTCTATGGGGAAGCAAATAGGGTGACTGGGATAGTGAGGGGCAATCACTTTCACTGTGTATACTTTTGTGCCTTTTGAGTTTAAACCATCTGACTGTATTTAAAAAAAAACAAAAACCAAACCCATTGCCATCGAGTCAATTTCCAACTTAAATTGACCCTATAGAACAGAGCAGAACTGCCCCATAGGGTTTCCAAGGAATGCCTGCTGGATTTGAACTGCCAACCTTTTGGTTAGCAGCCTAACTCTTAACCACTATGCCACCAGGATTCCCTCTGACGGTATTACCTACTCAAAAACAAAATCAATAAAAATGTTTAAACAAATACAGGAAGACGTTCTACAGAGACTCCCTCTGGCTGGTTTACCATACATTTCTCTCTTGTTTTCTCAGAATTCCCGTTGGAACCTCCTCTCCCAGAGTACCTGGTTCCACAGCATGAAGAGCCCCCAGCTCTGGGATTTCTAGAGGTTTCCCCCAACACACCTCCACTGTTCTGGGGCCTTCAGGCTTTGAGGGTGATCCTGAAACACCCTTCATCACCATCCCAGAGCCCGATGGCCCCTGGGGGGCAGGCTCAGACCCATCTGGACCTCTCCGAAGCCCAGTAAGGCATCTCTGTCCAGCCCAGGGGCCACCTCCTCCAGATGCCTGCCCCAGTGGAATGAAATTACCTTATCCTTCCTTGTCACTGGGTGGTCAACCTGTACCTTCTGGTTTCACATCAGCACACACTTCCTGGACCCCTTACACAAGCTGCGCCTTTGTCCTTCACCTGGCCCATTTTTCTCGTGTCCCACGTGGCTGGGCCCTCCCTGCAGGACCAGATTAAGATTTTAGAGGCACTGAAAAGTATCTGGTGCCTGCTGGCCCCGGCCCTCAGGACAAGGACAACCCCAAACCAGGATACTGACATTAATTAATACAGTCAAGATACAGAGCAAAATGTAGACTGAATTTAAGATAAAAGATTTCTGCCTGTACATTTCCAGATGAATTCAGTGGTGCTAAATTTGCTCTCCCTCTTTGTTAAGGGGTGAATATGTTCTGGCCCTGCTGGCATCCTAGGTCAGCCCTTTGATATCCCCACCAGGGGCAGATTAATCAGTAAGCAAGGTACACACAGGATTAACTGTTTATTTACTAATCTGTAGTGCACAATTTCAAGTTGGTTTCCCACATATGTGGTGAAAAACAGGTGAAACTGCACTACAGATTAGTAAGTAAGCAGAAGTAAGCCTATGCATACCTTGCTTATTGGGTAATCCTTCCCTGAACCCCAGTAAAACAGTAGGTGCAACGGAGAGGACAGGGCTTTGGGATCAGAGATCCCCAGCGCTGGCCCTCAAGGTTGAGCGATCTTCGGTCCATTTAAACCGTTTCCTGCTGGGGAAACCGGGATCTTTGTCTCCTACCCCCCCACCCCGGTTGTGAACTTTAAAGGAGAGGATGCACCAGGCTCTCCGTACTTCAGGGGGTCCCTTCTCCTTGCAGAGTCCAAGTTTCCTCTTCTGGGAAGCAGGGACTAGGATGAGGCCCGCACCGCACTCTGCATCCCAGATTTCCCTGAGTGTGGGCACGTGCTTACTGGTCGGTTCCCCCGAACTGAGTCCAAGGTGCTGGGAGCCCGGCGGCCTCCCTCGGACTGCAACCCAGCGCCCCGCCCAGGCATAGCTCAAGCCCATTGGTGCCGAATGAATGACTGCAGGATGGCTAGAAGGGCCCACGTTGGCACCCAATACGGGCGAAGGGTTTGAAACCTGGGGGACGAGCATGCAGGCGGGAAAACTGAGGAGAGCCTCCTGCGTGGGCGAGGGGCAGCACACGGGCGCGCGCGCGCTCACCCTCCTTCCACACGGGTGAGCGCCCCATCCTCTTCTCCCCCACTCCCGTAGCCTGCGCCCCCAGTTCCTCTCTTCCTTCCCGCGGGGCCCTGAGAGCGCGTGCCGGAGCCAGGGGCGGGGTCGCCGCGAGCTCGGCCCCTCGGCCCCCACGGCGGCCGGCAGGGGCCCAGGAAGTGGCTCGAGGCCACC